CCTTTGGCACGGGCACTGGTAATGCACAAAAATCCAGTTATTAATACAAAGATAAAGGACAATCTAAGAAACATTGAGTTCAGTTTATTATAAAACGTTACTACGACTAAGATATAGTATCACGGTTAGAAAATTGGTACCTTTTTTCCCCCCATAATTGGGTTATCTGGGTGAAAATAATGCTCATATTTAAATTATATTTTTGGAGGCTATTAATTTAGTTTATGGAAAGCACAAGGACTCGTATATTTCTAACTTTACTACACCTTGAAAATTCTAATCGTAATCTTATACAAAGTCAAAAAAATATATATCGGATGAATAAATAGAACTATTTTCACTTATCTTAGAGAGAATATTATTCAAATATTAACCCCCAATTTTCTTCAGTTTCATTTAGCTATCAAGTTAGAAAAATTTCATACTTGGATTAAACTTACATGAATTTAATGGCAGGTTTAAATCTTGTACTACAATATTGGAAGTGATTTACATTTTAATTTAATTCTAGTATCAGTAGACAAAGTACAACATTTCTGAAAAGAGGTCCTTTTCAAAGCTTTCGACTTTTTTTTGTTACATTCACTATTAAGAGAACCCTCAAGGAACAAACTGAATTAAAAACAAGCTTGAGTAAGAACATCACGGGATATTTATAACAATAAATATTTTAAAATACAGTTATTAGGTTTGGATGGACATTTAAAGAAAACACTAAATTAAAAGTTCAAAATATCTACAAACATCAAGCCAAGTTGATACGTAATAATACAACAGTAAGCCTTTAAGGAGCAAATTAAACAAGATCACCTATGATGACGGCTATACATACTTCTTTAAATTGTAATAATAATATCCAATGAGCCCTCTTAACAATTGGGGACCTGTTCCCCCTTTATTTTATACCAATAAACCTTTAAACAAAAGACAATTGCACAACTTAGAATTCCATGTCCAGTTTGTTCTATATCTTCTTCTTGTTTTTTTCCTTCTTTTTTTAATGCAGAATACACATTAAAATATTTAAACCTTTGGCACTAAGTGATGTGTTGATTTATGATATGTTAATACAGGATGATATAGTAAAAGTATAGAAAGCTATATGAAGACCTATACATTTGTGATTTTCTTCAGATAATCAAATATATATATATATATATGATGCAATGTTTTACAGCAGATTCTGTAATAAATTATAAAAATCTAAATTTATATCCAAATGTCTTATCGCATAAATCATTTTACATTATGTAAATCTACAGAAAACATTATACTCATAAATAACAATCATAAAAAAAAACATTAAAACTGTAGCTGCTTTTTTCTCACAAAAACAAATGATGCTGATATATTTAAACAAAATTATTGCTAATAATAATAATAATACATTACATTTGATCAACAATTTGACAAAATCAGATTTTAAGCAGGCAGATACTACTAGCATCATAGAGAACTGAAGTTGAAAGACAAACACTCCTATCTAGGGCCAATTTTCTATGAAAATATAGTCAGTTATCAGTAAAATTTCACTTGACAAATATTTCATCAACTGAAACAAATATACTCAATTTAAGAAATCAATTTGGTTCACTCCATTATGACAGAATATTATAATATTTTCTAACAGAATGGCGTAAATTTTTAAAGTTTTGATATATTGGACGAAAAAAAGGCAGTATCTGATAGATTTGGGGGGGGGGGGTTTACAGCAAAAGTTTGAGCAAGAGAAACAAACGTTATGATTAACCCGACAGAAAACAACACGACATTGATTAGGTCTGTTATTAATGATCCACTTACTGCTATAATTTACCAAGAAATGCTTTAGTTTCGAAGAGATTAATCTCTTTATATCCAGCAATATTCTTTATTAAATGGCAGTACCTGAAAACACGTTAAACTATAAATTTAGCACCTAAAAACTGGTGGTTTTGAACAGTTATCAACAGACAAAACTTGAATTTTCTTATTCTTTTCAAATACAAATATAACATTTTGTGAATAATAACTGTTTGTAATGCATTAATAATTCAGATAGTCCTGCTACCTGGGAATGGTTAATGGTTCAATACCTGCCTCTAAAAATTCCAATATAAAATACTGAAGAAAGTCATGTTCTGACTCTGTCGCTAGTCAGGTGTTGTGAGGTTTTTTAATAGAGGTTAACTAGCTCTAATTTAACCTCACTGTAAACAAGTAACAAAGAATACTTTTTTGCTGACAAACTCTTTACGTCTCAATAGGTAACATCACCGTAAAGACAGAGACATCATTTTAAACTTGCCTTAACGTGTAAAGAATCGGATACCGAGATGAGTAACAAACTTGTTCTTGCCTGTAGAAACTTACCTACATCATAAACTTCATTTCACTCTTATATAACTGTCAGTATTCAGTATCAGAAGAACAAACCATTCCTGGTTTACAGGCTTATTTAGATCAATATTTCTCAACCATCAGCCGGTAGTAAGACATCACAACCACCTTGCCAGTCCATGGTATTCTAGAAACTTACCTACATCATGAACTTCATTTCACTCTTATATAACTGTCAGTATTCAGTATCAGAAGAACAAACCATTCCTGGTTTACAGGCTTATTTAGATCAATATTTCTCAACCATCAGTCGGTAGTAAGACATCACAACCGCCTTGCCAGTTCATGGTATTCCACAAGAACAAACAAAAATGGACAAAATATTCATATGCAAGTCGTAATGTCTCTTTGTTGTATTTTAGCGGTCGGTGACAGTTTAACGAGACGGCAAGCTTATCTCTGACATTGAAAAGATTAAGAAACTCTGTTTTAGATTGCTATTGTGGATAGTACCAATATTAATTTTTTTACTTCTGTGGGCACGTGTCTTCCTCTGGAGCAGTAGTACAAGTAATAAAATACCACCATGAGTAATAAAAATAAAAAGGTATTTCCCTTCAAAATTCTCAAATGTTATCACTTTAAAGTTTCATCTAAATAATGAAATATTAAATTGTATCTTTCAGTGTTTTTAATGTGTAACTAAAAACAAACCAAACACTGGAAGAGTTGCATATTAATGTAGCAATGAAAGAGTTAAGTGAACAGACATAAGGCTGATGAAAATATTGTTCAGTTGAGGCATTATGGGAAAAGTCTCGAGACACTCTTTTGAACTCGTGTACTTTTTGGGGGGGGAGTGTGTGTCACAAACTACTACACAGGTAAAAATTAAGTGCTGGAAATCAATGAAAGCCAATTAACAAAGGGTTTAGTTAACAAGACTATAATAAAAATGTTGACGTAAACGTTCTGAATTCAAACATGTTACGACACCTAACGCACATCCATTACTGATATTATACAGATTCTTAAGAAGGAACTAATTACAAAAAAAACAACAACATTTTTCTTGTCTTCAACAGTTTACCATCATTATACAAGTTATAAATTGAGTCTTGAACTTGTAAGCTGGTATCCAATTCAATTAACTACGTGGAGTTAAAGATAATGCAATGAAACTAAAGCAATCACAGTCGAACAGTTGTGTTTAAAAGTTTATAACAAAGGACACAATTTCTGGAAGTTTAAAAAAAGTAGATTAATGACCAATACAAGTCTTTAAAACCTGAACACATGAAAACTACTGAACTCCAACTAAGAGTTATATTTAATAATAGGGGTGGATTTAACATTATCTTGTTCAAACATTAACATGACACAAGAAATTACTTTCAAACTTGTATTTCTACATACAACTGAAAACACATTCTAGTCTGTACATTTCCTCAACTGAATTATAGGAACCAGATATTATATCTAACTTTGAGAACAAACTGTGCTGTGTGTATCTATTGAAACACCTGAAAATGCCACAAAAAGATAACATGCAAGGCATGTTTAACTTTAAATTCAATCATTGATACGATCTTAAACATTATACACACAAACAACTTCACAGTTATAAAACATTGTAAATATCTTTTAATTAAGCAAATAAAAAAAAAAGACCGTCTAGGCTTAATCTTGGACAACCATTTAACTTTGACCTTTATGAATATTCTTATTTACAGCTGAACTTTTCCAGAAACTTACATGTACAGGTTTTACATCTAATGATGTTCTAATCTACATATTAAACAAGTTTTAATATGGCAATGAAATGCTTCTTTTTTTTTTAATATAGTGGTCAACTAACACCGAAACACAGGCTACCTTCACTTCCTGAATATACATTGTAACACTGCAATAACACTCCATATATTCAAATAAACTAAAATATTTTTTGTGCCCTTTTGGTAGTGCAAATAACACTGTTTCATTTGCTTCCCTGTTTTTAATGAAATGCTGATAAACAACCAATGAGCTTTGACACCATAAACATCTACAACTGTATTTGTGACCGGCCTTTTTTAAAATGTTCACAGTAATAAATGGTCACTCATCGGCAGTCATTATCCAATACATCGAGAAATGTGGTCTCAATAAAACTTGTTAGCCACTTTCAATCCACTTGCTAACACGTGTATTTCAGCAGATATCAGTGGCAGTTGGTGACCTATTTAACGGGTGAAGAACCGGCTCCATTTTCAGCCAACTGACATCAACTTCTTATCTCTGCAAAGCCCGTTTCTCACTTCCTAATTAGGCAGTTCACAGCTGGCCTAACCAAGCTCTCCTGTTGACATAGCAACAGGTCATTCTGGCATGCTACTTGTTCTTTTTAGGCCCACACTCTCCACTTCCTTACGCAGCAATATTAGGTCATGATTGAAGCTTTAGTAGCAGTTAATTAATGTTTTATTATATTTTTCTAGACACTGCAACTAAAACATAATTACTAGTACAAAGAAAACCACTCTGGTTTTAATGTTTGGGATACGATCATGGAACTTCTACATGAGGCACTTCGTAAGCTGCCATTGGCTCATTCTCTCTCTCTCTCTCTCTTTTTAAATCATTTTCTTACCACTTACCACAACAATCAGGAGTTTGTAATACTGCACTTCAAACAGAAATTGACATTTGTGTAATTTACACAAAATTTTGTCGCCAAATTGAAAGTTACAAATACAACCATGGGACTTTTAAGCCAATTTTAAAAATCAAGACATATATTCCTGAATAACCCTGTAATCTTCAACCACCAAAATATAACAAACACAGATATCCCCCCTAAACCCACCAACAACAGACCTTTCAAAGAGACTATTTTGGAATTGATTAACTTTTTATGTCAGCTCCAATGACTTTCAAACCAGGATTCTTTTTTCTGAACAAACTGATAATTTTGTAGTGGGTTTGTTGTTCACTCCAATATTTAGTGGCCTCTAACTGAGGAACTTTTGAAATATGTTTTAAACTTCAGAAACCTTACTCTAATGATGTATCTGTGATTGAGCTACGCAGACTTCCTCATCTACGGTAGATGAGACAGTGGCCTCACCACTAGGCATCTTCCTCTACAGTAGATGGGATATCGGCCTCATCACCAGACTTCCTCATCTACGGTAGATGGGATATCGGCCTCATCACCAGACTTCCTCATCTACGGTAGATGGGATATCGGCCTCATCAACAGACTTCCTCATTTACGGTAGATGAGACAATGGCCTCACCACTAGGCATCCTCCTCTACAGTAGATGGGATATCGGCCTCATCACCAGACATCCTCAACTACAATAGATGGGACAGTGGCTTCACCACCAAATATCCTCATCTACACTAGATGGGACAGTGGCTTAACCATCAGACATCCTCATCTACAGTAGATTGGACAGTGGCTTCACCACCAGACATCCTCATCTACTGTAGATGGGACAGTGGCTTCACCACCAGACATCCTCATCTACTGTAGATGGGACAGTGGCTTCACCACGAGACATCCTCATCTACAGTAGATGGGACAGTGGCTTCACCACCAGACATCCTCATCTACAGTAGATGGGACAGTGGCTTCACCACCAGTCATCCTCATCTACAGTAGATGGGACAGTGGCTTCACCACCAGTCATCCTCATCTACAGTAGATGGGACAGTGGCTTCACCACCAGTCATCCTCATCTACAGTAGATGGGACAGTGGCTTAACCATCAGAATCTCCAGAAAAACAACCATTGCAGACAAATACCTCATGTCACTATTAAATTTCCTTCCCTTTTAGCAGAATTGCAAGAGTTTTAGGTAATACTGCTCTACCAACAAAATTCATAGGCGTTAAAAAAATTTCCAGATGAACAGAGCCAAAAACCACACACTAACATCACTGTTCTATGCACTACCACGTCAATGTTATCTTCAGCACATTCATAAAAATTTCCAGTTAACTTAAAATAAGGAAATAAAACACAAAACTCCTTATCTCTAATGAAACAAAATTCGAACAGTCTAAACTCCAAGTATGTCACTTGTGAAACCTTATCGTCGTGCAATAAAGAATGCATAGGATAAACCAAAAGAAATCTGGAACAATGATTAAAAGAACTTTTTAGTCTATTTGTTGAACAATCACAGCTTCAATTATAGCAGAACATATGGCTCTCATAAGATGCGTTTCGAATGCCGGCCAAAAGAGCTGCAGAACCACCAATAAAGGAAGACTAAGGAAGCCATCTCTCTCTCTCTACACCATTACAAAAAATAAAAAAGACAAGCTCTTATCAGAGAAAAACGACTTAAGAGCTCTGTCATAGCCACAGCATTACAATATAAAGCAGTACACTTTAAAAAATATTAGCCTAACGAAACAATATCTCTCGGTTAAGATCATCGAACACATTGCCCTTTGAAATATTGAAGATGAGAAACCCACTTTTAGACAATAAAGTTTGGAGATGGCTTGGATGGGTAATGAAAGAAACTTTATTAGAAGTAAGAAATGTAAAACACTTTGACAAGCTTTTATTGCCATCAGATACCCTATGGTGATGACAAAAGCTTGTTGAAACATACATTTGTTACTTGTAATAAATGTTCTTTCATTATCATTACCCATCCAAGCCATTTCTAAACTTTATTATCTAAAAGTGGCTTACTTCAAGTTTCAAGAAGTGAGAGATATTGCCTATTCTCAAAGGATTTTTTTTTTCTTTTCATAATTCCTTTTGCTCCTAAAACTGTATTTAGTACATAAAAGAACTTACTAGTGATGAAATTTAGGCAAGTTAAGCTAATAATATTTACAGATTACTGTACATAATAAAATTTACTCTACAGTGGAAGCACCCACACCATTTCTTTATATACTCCAAACTAGCCTATTAAGACTTCCTTAACCACACTGACCATACATATGATGTCCACTTTAGTCAAAGGTCACACACAACAGTCTGTCCCTTTAAGGTCACAAGCTACAGTCATTATCTTTTAAATTTAGCCTGGTAGTTAAAACACGACATACAGATAGAGTTATGTTTTTTAAACTCGAACATTTGATTTTTTTTTCCTTAGACCTCTACTGGTCCGCTATCCCACTTGGGGTATTCCTCCACTTCTCGAGTTGCACCCACTTTGATGGTGCTTTCTTCAGGTTTTGTTTGTTCCATTTTTGTAACATGTGAACTTACCGGTATACTATTTTCCTGCTCATCTTTAACTTTGCTATCATTGCTTCTACCACCACTACATATTTTGCTGCCCCTATCTTCATCTGGATTGTAGTCGGTCAGTTGGGGCACCGTTTCTAAAACATGAGATTCCGAGCGGTCCTTTGAGGGTATGGTTTCGTAAAATTCTTCACTATCGTCACTGCGGTTTGGAGTATTACTATGCATATGTTTCACCATTTCATAATCTGGATAGGAAAATGTTAGTCCTTCCACTTTACTACTAGGGTCAATTAAGTAATTAAAAAACTCTTCCACCACATGGCCTGAGGTACTTTGGTGTTTTCCATGGTCCTGATGGTGTACACTCTCGTATCCTGGTTCGCTTACGTCACTTTCCGCTCCGTGAACAATTTCGTAAGGTGGTTCATGCGAGGTTGCTGCATTTAAAGGAGGCAATGGAGGTTTCTTAACACATTCATAACCAGGATCAGTGACATCACTTTCAGCTCGTGCTAACCTACGAATCTTTTCGTAATTAGGGTCTGCACGTTCGCTCTCGTGCCTTCTAACAGGCTCGTAGTCTGGATCACCAAACTCGCTGTTACTATCGTATCCTCTAGGCCTTACTTTCTCGTAATATGATTCTGTCGCATCAGAATCATTTCTGTGAAGACCCTTCAGACTTTCGTACCCATGATGTCTCAAAGTTTGATCTTGCGGCATGTGTGTCATATTGTTAGCTGGACTCTCCCATGTAAAACCATTTAAAGATTTGCCTGCTACAGCTGGCTGAGCAACATTTTCATATCTCAGATCATCTAAGTCTCCTTTAACACGTTCATAACCAGGATCATTAGATGCATGCTTCTTATCTTTTACAGATTCATAGCCAGGATCATTAGACCCATACTTCTTATCTTTTACAGATTCATAGCCAGGATCATTAGATGCATGTTTCTTTTGTTTTACAGATTCATAGCCAGGATCATTAGATGCATGCTTCTTTTGTTTTACAGATTCATAGCCAGGATCATTAGATGCATACTTCTTTTGTTTTACAGATTCATAGCCAGGATCATTAGATGCATGCTTCTTTTCTTTTACAGATTCATAGCCAGGATCATTAGATGCATACTTCTTTTGTTTTACCAATCCATAGCCAGGATCATTAGACACATACTTCTTATCTTTTACAGATTCATAGCCAGGATCATTAGAAGTATATTTCTTGTATTTTAAGGATTCATAACTAGGGTTATTAGAAGTATATTTTTGATGTTTCAATGGTTCGTAATCAGGATCATTAGTAGCAAGACTCTGATGCTTAACAGGCTCATATCCTGGATCACTATCCTCCCCATCATCATCATCATCCCTAGTTACAATATCAGTCGACTGAGGTCTTGGGGAAAACATAATGATAGAATTAGCCACAGGAAGAACAGCTGAGTTAACTACATGGCGACGAGTTGTGGGGGAAGGATCAAGTGGAAAGTCTGTAACAACTGTTGGGCTTTTAGGGGGAACAGGGGGAGCAAATACATCCACTGAAGGGGGATAAGAATATTTTCCAATTTCTTCCATACCTGATGCACTTGAAGATGAGCCATGTCTCTTCTTATGAACTTTGGCGTACATTTCTTCAACAGTCTGTGGCTCATCCTTGGAACTCGGAAGAAAGCTCACTCCTTCAGCCAAATGAATGGTTTGCCGCTGCTTTCCCGATTTATCAACTACAGAGTAAAGGCCAGACAAGTCTTTCATAAGTTGGTTGGCATCATCTTCTGTTGTTCCCATCACATCGCTAATGTCAAAGGAAGTCGCAGAAGTATAGGAAGCTGAAAATATTAAGGCACAATTAAAACAGCAAAGTTCCCCATTATTTCACAATAACTTAGTAAAACAAATTATTAAAAAATGTCTAGTTATAAAAACTTAAAAATCATAAGACTCTTCTTGAAACTTTAGTGTCCTTCTTAATCGAATGTCAGTAACAAATTTAAAAGGTTCAAGTAAGTATAAACAGTTAAGTTAGGTGCTAAAGTGTAAAAATGGAGAATGTTTCAAATTAGCCCATAAACAAGCAATTAATTAGGAGTTCAACAGTTTACAACAATCAATCATTACACAGAATTTAATAATACAGTCCAATTTAGAGTTTTTCTGATATCAGAAAGAAAAACAATTGCATATGTAGTAGTGGAAAAAGTTCAGCAATGGAAAAGATTTATTTATTTGTCATTAAGCACAAAGCTACGCAATGGGCAGTCTGTGCTGTGCCCTTTTTTTTTTAGCAGAATAAGCCCACAGATTTACCACTTAACCACTAGGGGGTCAATGTAAAAGAAGCTTATATAATATCTTGATCATGATAATTTAAAACAAGTACAAAATGTGTTTATGAAAAACCTATGCCCCAATTTATGTTAAACTGTTCGTTTAAGCCTCCTCCCACCATCTGACTGATCTTTGACCCATGACCTTCGAAAGTTAATCATATCCAGAACTTTGTATATAGTATCTGTCATATAAGTTTGGCCAAAAGCCATTGATCTATTCTGGAGATTTTCTGTCCATAAGATCAGGACGGACAGAGACAAATCAATATGTAATGGAGGTGTAAATACACATATATTATTACAATTTTCTAAAATCTCATTTCCCTGAAACCAAAATACAACATTTAGGAAGTAATCATAATCTCTAAGAATCTAGACAGATGTAATGACTAACACACTATGATGCCCACTGCAAGCATCAAACCCCAAACTTCGTTGTTATAAGCCCTCAAGCTTACTGCAACTCATGTCAGACTACAGGAGTAAACAGGTAGTTAGAATAAATTTAAAATTCCATCATAAAAATTTACTGATTACTGACAGTTTTTTTTTTCTTCAATAAATAAAGGGGTGTAAAAAAGAGAGCTTTCTAGTGACCGTCACCACGACTCGTTCAACAGTACGTTTTGAGGGGTGGAAAGGATGAAACCACGACAATTCCTTCAATAGCATATTTTCTTTTACAGATATGTATCTGACGGGTTCAAAGGTTGAACTTTCTCATAATGTTTATGATTTTCTCTCTCTCTTTCTTAAAACATCGAGTACCGTTAACTTTTATTTATAACGATCCCTGTCTCGCCAGGTTCATACTCGTGACCACCAAAAACTGAAACATTATGAAGATGGTAAGACAGATAATATTTTTATATCTTTGTAACTCACCTAGAAACACTGTGCAACTTGAAAAACACTACTGCGTAACAATAAAAATATATATACACACACACCATTTAGACTGTAAGATCCATTAAAATTTTATGCTAAACAAAATCTTAATAAATAACAGAGAACAAAATGAGTACCTTGTCTGGAGTGAGCCTGGGCAACACACTTCAAACTTTCTACAGTCGGTGGAGCTGGCGGAAGTTGACGCCTCTCCGGTTCAATCGACGCGTACATGGAAGAAGATCTCTCAGAGTGCTGACTAGAGCCAGGATCAATTTCTTCGTACATCTCTTCTTCATCAGGGACCACCATGTAATGACCCTCGCTTGACTGACTTCCCGACACCTGAAGATAAAGCACTTACTTTATGAAAATAATGGTATTAGGTCATGTCACGAATAAATTTAAAATATTCTCATGACATTATAGTGTACGTGCATATAGCAACAAGAAAGATCAAATCTGCATTTTTAACCATCAGCTACCATATAACATCTGTGATATTAAACATAGCAGCTGGTTACTAGAAGACAACACTGATGGTATGTATACAGATTTTTTTCGTCAGTTGTCAAGGCCATCATTTTTATACTGAGTTAATCATCAGCTACCATATAACATCTATGATATTAAACATAGCAGCTGGTCACTAGAAGACAACACTGATGGTATGTATACAGATTTTTTCATCAGTTGTCGAAGCCATCATTTTTATACTGAGTTAACCATCAGCCACTATACTAAAAATTCTATGACACTATACATAGAAACCTTTATACCTGGTTACTGGAAGTTCCTGGCTGCTGTCTTAGTTGGAGTTTTAAAGTTTCTTCCCTTACTTTAGCTAAGGGCTCACGTACGCTGATCATGTTGTATGGTGTGTCTTTATTCCCTACGACACAAAATATAATGTTAATACTAGACGCACACAAGATGGGGTAAGAAACATCACTCACTACAACAGAAAATCAACATTACTGATAGCAACTACAGCTTAGATTTCTTTTGTTCTCATCAAACTTTGTTACAAGAAGAGTCTTATTATCCTCAATGAATTCTTCTCAAAGTTAAATGAGATTTTTAGAACATTAATAGTGAGTTCAAAACGACCTGACTTATCATATATATAAATCTTAGACACGTAGTTAATATTAACTTCTGATCATATCAGGTAACCTACACAGATCACAGTTAGATATCAACACTATTAGGGACAAAACAAACTCAAAAAACAAATGTAATATTCCTACTAAAACCTGTTCGAAGACCTTTATATATGCTCAGTTATTAATTGGGTATCTGTTACAAAGAAAGTATTAAAAGTCAATCCAGTAACAATTATAGCTTCACTTATTAAATGTATCACAAAACAAAAATACATGTTCCATTACTTCACAGGTGCCCATTCAGTTATCAAACACATTTAAGTTTCTGAGAAGCTACTGGTAGAATAGCAGATTTTTTAGGGTACAATGTTTCGTATGTAACGGTTGAGACGTACAACAACCAAATTACTTATACATCCAATCAGATAATCTTATTCAGGGTGATACTAACACCACCTATTTTGTTTTTTACTTCTGAACCTTTGATAAACATAAGTTAAACATAAAAAAAAAAGAGTGAAGACATACGAAATCCATTAAAACAAACTATTAGTGGTGAAGCTTATTTAATATAGGCTTAGCTTCTAATCAGTGTACCTTATTATACAACATTGCTGGAAATGTTCTCCATACACAAGAAAAACAAAAAATATGTAATACACTACGGTATTGAAGAACAATAATCAGACAGAAAGTTGCTGAATTTCATTGTTTTAGTCATGACTGAGATCCTTCAAAATAACAATCAGTTGTTCTTGAAAGTGTCCATATTTCTTTAAACAAACAACTTAATCCACCTGTTAATGGTAACTAAGCCTCCCTTGTTTGTTCTGATGTTTAAGTTTGATTTCCTACTTTATTTAATGCTTTATGTTTTGTTATAACTTATGTTGTCTAAAAAACACTTTTAAATGTCATTAGTCGCAAGCACTCCAACTGGCTTGCTAAATTATGCACTAATACCATTGTACTTATATAATCGCAGTTCTCACAAAGCCATGTTATTGACTAAATCAGGATTGTAATCTATCCTCCCTATATTAAAGTGAATTACAAGTTTTATTGACAACTGATATTAATCATTGGTTGAAAACAAGTATATCTAGCTTTAACAAATATTAACCTATGCCATCCTCATCCTGTCTACAAAAAATAGTCTTAAAATATAACAATCTATTTTTCCATAGCTCTGTGTGTGTGTGTGTGTGTGTGTGTGTGTGTGTGTGTTTCAATATTCCAACATGTCTTTGAATTGTTTATTTTGAACAAAAAATAATTAATTTTAAATTATGGATATTACATATCACTTCTATCCAATCACAAGCTAAGCCTACATTGATTAAGCTTCTATTGTTACCATCCAATCACAAGCTAAGCCTACACTGATTAAGCTTCTATTGTTACCATCCAATCACAAGCTAAGCCTACACTGATTAAGCTTCTATTGTTACCATCCAATCACAAGCTAAGCCTACACTGACTAAGCTTCTATTGCCACCATCCAATCACAAGCTAAGCCTACACTGATTAAGCTTCTATTGCCACCATCCAATCACAAGCTAAGCCTACACTGATTAAGCTTCTATTGCCACCATCCAATCACAAGCTAAGCCTACACTGATTAAGCTTCTATTGCCACCATCCAATCACACGCTAAGCCTACATTAAATAAGTTTCTATTGCCACCATCAATCACAAGCTAAGCCTACATCGAATAAGCTAAGATTTCAAACCTGAAGAGATTTCTCCTCCATCCTCCATGTTGGTCATTAGTGGTGAGTGCTGTAATGGAGGGGTCATGTACGGAATCTCAGCTGAAGGTATTTGACCAGCAACAGCTTGACCTGCTGTGGAAGGGTTTCTGCTTCGTCCTTCAGCATCAACAGACAGAAGCAAACCTGGAATAAATAATAACAAACAATATGTATAATTCTATGTGTGTGTGTGTGTGTAGGATCCAACACTAGACTTGCAATGTGTGTAGATTAACATAAAAATAAGGACAAAGAGGATCCTAATTTCCAACTGCCTCAAAGCTTAATAATTACAGTTTTAATTAAGTTAAGACTAACATGGCACCACACTAAAGAATGCAAGAACATTTTAAATTCACGGGTACCATCTTTTAATTTCTATGTAATTAAATCATTCTAAATATATAAAAAAAATCTCTGCTGAAAGTAGCTGGCTAGTGTAAGCAAGATAGAAAGACAGACAGAACACTGGGTTCAACAGCACAGTGTTATTTATAATATATCAGCTCAAAGTGGTTGACATCTATATACATTCCCAATCTAGTGTCAAAGAACTTTCTCTGAAAATAAATACCAGTAAGTGTATCAACTTTACTTTAAATTCGAAGAATTTTCTGCTGTATAAATAGTCAAGCAATGCTTAATAAACAAAAACGCTATAAAGAAAATCTACACGTCACTAATTCTAAGTAACACATTCTAAACTTCTGCTTAATGATAGAATCAGAAATACACACACCCTTTGTTTAAAGTCACAAAATCTAGAAAATTTGGACAAAGTAATCCATTTTTATTTCAATACGAAACTACCCAAATTTGACTTTATCTGAATAATATGTTTTATTGCAAAAGTACACAATGGTCTATCTGCACTTATCCACCATGAGGAATGATTTTAGTGGTATTTTATCTTTCGTATCCTATGACAAAGCTAGTAAGGTTATCTGCTACCAATCCTAATTTTGAGCTATAGACTAGAGAGAAGGCAGCCAGCCAACAGCACCCTACCACCAACACTAAGAGACTGACTGTCACTCTTATAATGCAACCACAGCTGAAAATTCAGGTAATTTTTTGTGGTCTTGCACGGATTTAAATCTGGCTCACCAGCTCTGAAATCGAAAAGTCCACCACTAGGCTAACCAACACTTCTTGGAAAGTCTACCCACAGATTTTAGCATTGTAATTCTGGAATCTTACTTCTCACACACCAGGGATTGTTGTTATTTTAGATCCCACCAAGGGAATTTCTCTGTTGTATTTGACTCACTCATTCCAAAAGTATAAAGCAGAAAATATCTATCACACAAAGAATGTTGGACAAAAGTTTCTTTCAATGAAAATCATTTTAGCATTGTAATTCTGGAATCTTACTTCTCACACACCAGGGATTGTTATTTTAGATCCCACCAAGGGAATTTCTCTGTTGTATTTGACTCACTCATTCCAAAAGTATAAAGCAGAAAATATCTATCATGTTGGACAAAAGTTTCTTTCAATGAAATCATGTCAATAATTTGGGAAAGTACGTAAAAATAAATGTAACTTCTTTATCCTTCCAATCAGCACATGCAATTCAAGTATGTTCTTTTAAACCAAACTGGTTTATTCTAACTTGTATAGGAAATATACAAAACTAAATTTGGCTCTTGACATCTGGCAGGCAAACTAGTAACATGAGAATTAAACATGCATTTATGAAAGTTAAACGAACTGAGAATTGTAAGAACAACTATTTTCAGAAATAAACAAGACATTATTTAACATCATGGCTGTTTTTTTCTAACTCAATAACTCTGTTCTTGCTTCTATATCAAAAATACTTAATTTTCATTCCAATAATAACAGAACACTGTTATTAAAGTCATTCGACTTCCAAAAAGATAAAAAGATGTCAGAATAAAACGAACCAGCGGGTTGGGGCATCACAAAACTTTCCGAGTCTACTGTGTCTCCACAAGGTTGCTCTGAAGTAGATGGTTCACATGCACTGAATTCTGGTTGGATGGGTCCCTTTGATGAAGCTGACTGAGAATGATTGACTCCAGTATTTCGATTATCAAGCTCTGTGTATCCTTGAAGCAAAGAGTAGCGAATAGATGGAGCCCGAGAGCCATTAACGTTCGACACTGACAAGTTCACAACTTGTACTAAACTCGAAGGTCGGAGAAACTCTCTGGAGGTGTTTTCAGAAGTGGCTGGTGTCATTGGTGCAGAGTGAGGCCTGCCATCAGGTTCAGGTGTGACCTAAAACAAATTAGGAGGTGTATAAGTTGCCGCAGGATGTACATACAGTAACTTGTAAATGGGGACCGAGGAAGCTACAATAAAAAACGAAATATTAATTATATTTCACTCACAGCTTTCTCAATAGGCTTAGCCTGTCTTAATCAGATTTCAAACTATAACAGAAATTACTTGTTCTG